GCGGCGAGGGGCGGCCCTGGGGACGGCGAGGTGCAGCCCGAGCAGCGCGACGAGGAAGTGGCGCCTCCTCCCGGCGACGCAACCAGGCAGGGCGGCTCTACCGACCGGTATGCAACCCGCGACGCTCAGCCGGTGCAGAACCAACAGCAGGACGACCAGAAGGCCTCGCCGGTGCTGCGGAAGAAGCAGCTCGGCCGGAAGTACACCGGCAGCGGGAGCGGAAGTAAAAGGAGTACCAGTGGCGCTCTGCAGGCGAACTCACGCGGGCGCACCGGAGGGGCCTTCAAATGCGAAGTCTGCGAGAAGAGTTTTGCTTCAGCGAGTAAACTAAAGAGGCACAAGATGTACCACACTGGTGAAAAACCATTTAGCTGTGACCTCTGTCCAATGCGTTTTACTCAGAAATGCAACCTTGTCAGGCACGTGAGGACACACACTGGTGAAAAGCCATACAAGTGTGACGTATGTAAAATGAGTTTCACTGAGAAAGACACTCTTGCCAGGCACATGAGGACACACACTGGTGAAAAGCCATTCAAGTGTGGCGTATGTAAAATGCGTTTTACTGAGAAAGGTCATCTTGTCGCTCACGTGAGGACACACACTGGTGAAAAGCCTTTTAAGTGTGGCATATGTAATATGAGTTTTACTGAGAAAGGCCACCTTGTCAAACACATGAGGACACACACTGGTGAAAAACCATACAAGTGTGATGCGTGTAGCAAGGCTTTTAGTTTATTATCAAATCTCAAGAGACACAAAGCGATTTGTATTTCACTTTGAATTTATTTGTTTTTCATGCTTTAAACTTTGTAAATCTATATGAGGTAGTTTTTCAGCAACGATTGTGATTCATACATTTTTGTTGCTTCATTGTATTACGAATAAACACGACTGCCGGCAGATTTTATGTACCCGCTTTCTTGCATTTTGCTCTCCTCTTTTAAATGCCGGCTATGTCGCGGTCCTCCTAAGACATCGACAAAAGTCTCTGATAAGGCGCTCTATTGTTCCCGGTGGCGATCTTAGCTCTTCATTCAGCAGCGGGGTGACGCCCGGGGAGGATCCTGGAGAGGCCACCGCATCGAGCTGAAGCAGGACGGTCGGCATGCCTCACATGAGCCGTGTGAACCAAGTCCCGTGGGGTCAGCCTGAGCTGCTGATGTCGCGGCCCGGACGGCTCCGTGTCGCGGCTGAGACCTCTGAGAGTGGCGCCGCCCCGAGCTCGTCGCATGTGCCGTGGTGGGAGCCTGTCGGGCGCCGGACGCGATCTTAGAACAACTGTGTCGGCGGGCGGGGGCAGGGAACGCGTTACTTCGTTATAACTTGAGTGTGGTAAACGTAACGTTACTTGACGCGTACGCCGCCTCCCTGTTGGAGGCCACTTCGCCGACGTGTTGTCGCAGTAGTATCCCGGACGCTGCACGCGCGTGCTGGAGGTGCTGGTGGTGGCGTGGACCTCACATGACCACGACGTTGTCTGACGCGGTGCTCTTGTTGCAGGCCGCGATCCCAGCAGACGGGTATCCCCCGTGGAGGATCCTGGAGAGGCGTCCGTCGACGATAGCCCCGCGCTGGACGAGCTTAAACAAGAGGACGGGCTGTTGGGGCTGGTGGTGACAGCGTGCTTCTCGCTGCAGGACGAGCAGTGCCCCGCGGAGGCGGCGGCGAGGGGCGGCTCTGGGGTGGGCAAAGTACAGCCCGGGGAAGGTCCTTGGGAAAGCAAGGTGCAGCCCAAGGACATCTCTGGAGACGGCGAGGTGCAGCCCGAGCAGCGCGACGAAGAAGTGGCGCCTCCTCCCGGCGACGCTATCAGTGAGGGTGGCTCTACCGTCCGGTATGGAACCCGTGACGCTCAGTCGGTGCAGAACGAACGGCAAAGGGACGAGAAGGCCTCGCCGGTGCTGCGGAAGAAGCAGCTCGGCCGGAAGTACACCGGCAGCGGGAGCGGAGGTAAAAGCAATACCAGTGGCGCTTTGCAGGCGAACTCGCGCGGATGCACCGGAAGGGCCTTCAAATGTGAAGTGTGCAGGAAGAGTTTTGGACGAGCAAGTCATCTAAAAACGCACAATATGTACCACAATGGTGAAAAACCATTTAGCTGTGACCTCTGTCCAATGCGTTTTACTCAGAAATGCACCCTTGGCGCTCACATGAGGACACACACTGGTGAAAAGCCCTTCAAGTGTGACGTATGTAATATGAGTTTTACTGAGAAAGGCAATCTCGTCAGGCACTTGAGGACACACACTGGTGAAAAGCCATACAAGTGTGACAAGTGTAAAATGCGTTTTACTCAGAATAATCATCTTGTGACGCACATGAGAACACATACTGGGGAAAAGCCTTATCAATGTGGTGGGTGTAATAAACAATTTAGTGATAAATCCAACCTCAATGCTCATAAAAGAACTTGTAAGCATAGATCTTAACTTACGGTATACAAACTGCTCGCGGTTTCTTTTTAATCTGTACTTTGTGTAATAAATAAAATATTCTTGAACCTCCCGACACCCACTGTTATTGCACTCCCACCCTTGTTATGTCAAGTTGTTCAAGGTCGTCAACTTATGCCCCTTTCCGTTGCAGTTTCTGGCGCAGCCGTGACGAGGCGCTCCAGCCGCATGCGATGCCCCTCCTCGTTCACCTCTGGTTGGGATCCTGTGGCGGTCACCGCGTCGTCTGAAGCAGGACGGTCAGCCGGCGGTGACGGCGTGCTGCTGCTTCAGGTCCTATAAGGCCAGCAGGAGCCTCTGCTGCTGCTGGGGTCGCCGGGACGGCTCCGTGTCGCGCTGAAGTGAGGTGCTCCGGCTGAGCCCTCCAGGAGAGCACCGCTCGGCGTAATGCGTCGCGGCGGACGGCGTTGTGGTCGCACGCGCATGCTAGTGGTCCTGGTGGTGGGGCGGACCTCACGTGAGGACGACGTCGTCTGACGCGGTGCTCTTGTTGCAGGCGGCGAGCGCAACTACTCTAGTGAGACGTCCGCTGGGGAGGATCCTGGAGATGTCACCGTCGACGAGGGACCCGGGCTGGACGAGCTCAAACAAGAGGACGAGCAGCTGGGGCTGGTGGTGACGGCGTGCTTCTCGCTG